GGTACCTCACTAACAAGCACGTCTTTGGACTGTGAGAGGAAGTCGTCTGCTTCTCCATCACTCACTAGAATAGCTCATGAGGGTGAGAACAGCAGGCATCGAGTGCTTTTCTCCTTTCCCTTTAAACCACACACAGGTGTTAACAGCACCACTCTGACTCCAGGCAGTTTCTCAGCTAAAACAGCCTCTTCACTATTCTAATGAGAACTGATACAGAACCAGCAAACATTTAGGCTACACACACACACACCCTGTATGAATCGCTCTGCCATGGATTTGACTGTAAACCACATTTTAATTAAGCACTTCTCGAGTTACCTCCTGTGCTGCCTGACAGGTGCTGTTAGTTATCTGTCACCACAACTGGTGGCCAACCCTGTGACTGAGGTTATCAAATGTAGGCTAGCAGGGAACCAAACTTTGTAGATGACGTCATTACCTGTGATCTGTTTACAAGTGGGTAAACAGATCGCTTGTGTGCCGATCAGTGCTGGAAACCTCAGCACACCGAGACATGTTTAAATATTGAAAGCATGGCAGGAACACTAAGGTCACTTCAGCTCTGCGCTCACATATGCAAACCACATGTTACCTTAAAACGAGTCAGCTCATTTATCTCATTAACATGTAGCACTGTTGACTTCAGCATAGAGGTGAATAAGAGAGTGCCGATGCTTTAAAGGACTTTCTGTACAGTAACAGGACAGGCATGAAGATAAAACGCCGTGTTTTCCTGAGCGGACGGATTCTAAAACGCAGAGTGAGAAGGGATAAAAAAAACAGAGTGCTCCTCTTCAAAAGCAGCAGCTGCAGAAACACAGCTGAGGAGAGGTTACAGCAGACTCGCAGAGCAGGGAGACTGATGCATTAAGAGGATTTTCAGGGTTTAAACTCTGACTTCAGTAGGCCGTGTTGTACCACCGAGTGGTCATGATTCTAAATCTGGTCAGGATGTCCAGTTTCTGCTAAAACTAATGACGGGATTTTCTTTCTGCGTGGTCTAAAATGTTTGGCAACCGCGAAGACGTCTCAGTCGGAGCTGCTGTAATAAAATGATTTTTAACCAGATTTTTTGTTTGGGATTTAGTTTACTCCAACATAGCAGACAGCTTTTCTTATTAAATGATAGAAGATAAAAATGTCTACATTTCTGTCAAACAAGGTAACAGAGTCATCGCCTTGAATAGACAAAGACCATTTGTGCCCAAAAGTCACCTCTCAGAGGCTCAGTGCAGGCCAGGAAAAAGCTCATGTTGTTGGCTCAGTCGGTTAGGATAACACAGCCATGACCAAAATAACTTCCAAGGAACCGAATCTGCACATTAACAGGGAAAAGCAGCAATGACACAGTCAAATCCTCCAAACACATTTCAAACAGATGGGCCACAAAAACAAAAATCCTGATTCTTTAAAAGTTTTTTTATTCCATGTTTTACACATTCGTGACCTTCTCTGTGTCTGCAGGAGGGAAGTGGTCGCTGCTCGACAACAGTGTCCTCAACATCACTGGCATTGAGTTCGCGGACCGCGGGAAGTACACCTGCATGGCGTCCAACGCGTACGGCAGCTCCAACTGCACGGTGACGCTGCGCGTGGTGTTCACCAACGGCGACATGGGCGTGTACTACATGGTGGTGTGCCTGGTCACCTTCACCATCATCATGATCTTGAACGTCACGCGCCTCTGCATGATGAGCAGCCACCTGAAGAAGACGGAGAAAGCCATCAACGAGTTCTTCCGCACCGAAGGCGCAGAGAAGCTGCAGAAGGCCTTTGAGATCGCCAAGAGGATCCCCATCATCACCTCGGCCAAGACGCTGGAGCTCGCCAAGGTGACGCAGTTCAAGACCATGGAGTTTGCGCGGTACATCGAGGAGCTGGCCCGGAGCATCCCGCTGCCCCCACTCATCATGAACTGCCGCACCTTCATGGAGGAGATCCTGGAGGTGGTGGGGGTGGAGGAGATGAGGCACACCTTCCTCAGGCAGGCTCCCGACGGACGCCGGCTCCCCTCCATCGGGGTGAGAGATGTCTTCACAATCCTGCAGGAGAGGGAGCGGGGACGCAGCGAGTCACCCGCCGCCGATTCCGACAACTCCTCCGATCACGAGCAGCCGCAGCACATCGCCATCCAGGTGTCGGTCCACCCGCCACTCGTTGTCGGCGGGTACAGCGAGGAAGCCGCAGAGCAGCCAGAGGCTACGGAGTCCCCGTCCCCGCCGCCGTCTTCTCTTCACCACAATGAGCAGCCCGAGGACACCGAGGAGGTCGCTGCCGCCGACGAACCGGTGGCAAGCAAGACCCCAACATGCCAGGTGTTCTACGAGAGCCACGTGTGACGAACTGTGGCGAGCTCCGGAGAGACGATACGTTACCCTGCTATGCATTTCCACTTGAAAAAGGTCCATAAACATTTGTAAGTTCACATTTTGAAGAGAAACAATCAGTTGTATTTATCGTTTGTGAACAATCTCTCTAAACCTCTGCAGGCTCATCTACTGAAAATCAATCAAAAGGAGACTCTGGGTGCTTGAATGTATCCGGGCGGAGGAATATCAGTGTAAATGTAACAAGCAAAGCATTGTAAACGGGCATTTCCTGTGTTCTTATTTAAAGAGTTGTGGGGATTTTTCAGTTGGTAGTTTCTTACAGTGCTAGGGGGTTTTTAACGACATACTTCAGAAATCTGCCTCAAGCTGCTCTGCGTGCTCTTGTTTTCGGATTGTGAAAGCGAGCTTCCTAGATCCACTCCAGAATTCACATCCAGCTACTGTCACAGCCTACAGATGCATGCCGGACTCGAGGAGCAATAACCGACAGTCTGACTGCTTACTCATGATTGTACAGCTCTCTGCATCTCTAACAACATGGAAGTAAGCGAGGAGAGAGAGAGCACACACACTGGGTGGAGCTTAGATCTGTTTCCCTTAAAATACTTTGAGTATTTTTATTATTACTGCCCATTTTGTGCTGTGATTTTTGTTTCTTAGTCATTTTTATCTTCTTACTAAGACTAGTGTCTTGTTTTCGCTTGAGTAGAGAAGAGCAGCTTCGCTTCCTTTGTGATTTTATTTTAATTTGACTCCTGACCCGATTTCTGCGTCTTCGTCTTGCTTCTGCAGAAGCTTTACAGTACAGTCGTATTTCTGCTGCATGTTGGGATTTTAGACATCTTTCTCTGGGACTGAAATGACTCCTTTTGTTTGGCCCTTCGCTTGGCTTACGGTCCAGTCTGTGGCAGATATGAGTGGGCGATGTTCTGCTTCTTCTGGTGCTCTTCGATGCTTCTCTTTTGTAGTGGAATAAAATGAAAGTGCTGTGCTTAAAATGATTCCACAGTTTGGTCTGATGTCTTTTTTTCATTATCAGTCATGAAGTTGGCATATTAAATGGAACTTATTATGCTCATTTCCAGCTATTACAGCAGCTTTGCATGATTCACAGTTCAAAGTAATCATTTATCACAAGTAACCCTGTATGAAATAAGCCATTATTAGCACCTCTCCATTTACACCAGTAGTTCTCAGCTTTTTCTGGTGTTTCCTTTTTCCCATCCATCCATCCATCCATCCATCCATTCGCTTCCACTTATCCTTTTCAGGGTCGCGGGGGGCGCTGGAGCCTATCCCAGCTGTCATAGGGCGAGAGGCAGGGTACACCCTGCACAGGGCGCCAGTCTGTCGCAGGGCCAACACACAGGGACAGACAACCATTCACACTCACTCGCACATTCAAACCTAGTGGCAATTTGGATTATCCAATTAACCTATCCCCACAAGCTGCATGTCTTTGGACGGTGGGAGGAAGCCGGAGTACCCGGAGAGAACCCACGCAAACACGGGGAGAACATGCAAACTCCACACAGAAAGACCCCGGCCTGATGGTGGAATTGAACTCAGGACCTTCTTGCTGTGCGGCAACAGTGCTAACCACCGTGCCACCGTGCTGCCATTTTTTTCCCCAACAAGCAAAAGGTTCCTGGTTCAATTGTAGGAGGAGACAAAGTCTTTGGGGTTGTATCAGAAAGAGCATCCAGTGTGACATGACAAAAACAAAACAAAAACATGGAGCTGTGGTGACCTCTTGTGACAAAAATGGAACAGTCATCTTACTTCTGATTGGCTGAGAGAAGAGAAGCTAAAGCATCAAGTGGCTGCAACTATGCCCTTTAATAATACACTAACAAGGCTTATTTTGAGCCATGACTCATGTAAAGTTACTTTAGTAGAATCAAGAATAAAAAAACTAAGATGGAAGTGGGAGTAGCTGACCTCCTTTAAAAGCTGAATAAAGACAAAACAAGTTGCATTGAAGTTTTGGTCCTTTTATTCTTTTTCACTGCAGTCCAATAACAAACCATTCAAGGTCTGCTTTTTCCTCAGCTTGAAATCGTATGCTCCCGAAGGCATTCATGTGAAGGGCGTTAATAATGCAAGTTAGACCTTTTTGTGTAATGGCTGTGGTAGCCATGGCTACGAGGCCGTGCCAGACACAGGTGATGGAGGAAACAGATCTCCTGAGGAGAGAAAAAAATAAAATAAGTCTCATTTCTTTCAGAATGCAGGTGAACAGCAGCACATTCATTCAAACAACAAACCCACAAACTGAGAAGCTGCACACAAAATGTTCACACAGCTAATCCGATGTTAATATGGATTTAGGTGAGAAAGCCCTGTTTGTTTCTGAGTCTGCAAGAGGATCAGACGCTGTTTTGGGAATGTAGGTGAACAGGGAAAGGACAGAGTCATGAATGATGGATGTGTAAGTGGATCGCTGTCAGGTCGCTGAGACACTGGGCAGGGACTGCTCACAGAAGCTGCTCCATCTCTGGGAAACCTGAACCTCTCAAACTCAACCCCATTCCTGCGTTTGGGACAACATTATAAGACTTCCTGTCTGCACTAATTAGCTTCTGCTAGTCTGAGGACAAGAGCTAAATCACAAAGTGCAGTGCGAATAAACAAATGTCTCGATCTGAGAGAAGCCTTTTCTGTTTCAGCAGCAGGCTGTTGCATTACACCTAAAGGGAACCTCAGACGCTTCAGTAAGACACAAGAGTTCATTTTAGGCTTGAAATCCTTTTTTAACATCACAAAAAAAGCAATTAATATCTGTTTTACAAACATGTATAAACAGATATTAATTAATAACAAACACATGTCAGATTTCTTGCAATATGACTGAGCAGTTGTTGAGAAAGCTGCAACCACAGAGATTATTAGGAGAGACTGAATGAGAGAGAAGATGTTTCATACTGTCTATGCACAGCAAATCATCAGTAGAAGAATCATCAGTGGAAACCTATTAGCTGTTTGTTCTGTCCTGCCACACACACAGTGTCAGCGTGTCCTTGGAGGAAAGTGGGGTAAGATGAGCCAGTGGGTAAGTAGATCCACCCTAAATTTAGGTGGCATTTCCTGTTTCAACTGGCTCTGGAGGAAGAACCTGATAAAGTGGATAACATTCTTTTTTAAACAAGATTTTCTTTACATCATCAGTTTCATATCAAATTCTGCTTTTATCTTAGATTATATACAGTAAAGTTATACCACAGCTGCCAGATGTGCCACATCTGTGTCAACAATATGGCAAATTATGGCTGTGGAGCAACATGAGAACAGAGAGTGAGTGCGTGCCTATCCATGCTAATGTTTCTAAGTGCCCGAATAAACAACGTGCAAAGCAGGGTGGAGAGTATTTGCACAGCATTTGACTACAAACAATAATGAAATCCTTACAGTGTTTACAGTAAGTGATAGCTCGGCCTGCAGGTTCTTCCTCTGGCAAAGACCACAAGATTGCAACCACAACTCCAAAGAAAACCTGATGACCTGAAATACAAAGCAGCCATTACATGAAAGGAAAAGAGACAGCAAATGAAGAGTTACACTCACTGGACAGTTTATTAGGTACCTTCATGGTCCATGTTGGCATGACAGCATCACACATCTATGATTTGAATCTCCTCTTCCTCCGCACCTCAAAGCTGCTCTATCACACTGAGATCTGGAGACTGCGGAGGTTGTTTGAGTTCAGTGAACTCATTATGTTCAAGAAACCAGTTTGATCTGAGCTTTCTGACATGGTGTGTTGTCCTGCTCGAAGCAGCCATCAGATGGTGCACTGTGGTCATAAAGGGATTGACATGACTGGCATTAATACTCAGGCAGGCTGTGGTTTTTAAATGATGCCCAGTTAGTACCGAGGGGCTCAAAGTTTGCCAAGAAAATATCCCCAACATTATACCGCCACCAGCCTGAACTGGTGATACAAGGCAGGATGGAGCCACGCTTTCATGCAATTGACACCAACTTCTAATCGTACCTTCTGAAAGTTCCAGAGACTCATCAGACCAGACGCCGTCTATTGTTGTCCAATTTTGGTGAACCTGTGAACTCAGTTTCCTGATCTTAGCTGACAGCAGTGGCAGCTGGTCTCCTGCTGCTGAAGCCCATCTGCTTCAAGATTCAACATTCAGAGATGCTCTTCTGCATCGTCTACTATGGTAACAATAGTTATTTGAGTTACTGCTGCCTGCCTTCAGCTTGAAGCAGTCTGCCCAAAATAAAATCCTCCAGAAAACTGCTGCTCACTGGATATTTTCCCGATGTGGGGAAAATCCCAGCAGTTTCTGTAACAATTAGACCAGTGTCAGTTTAAACTTCAGTAGGTCGTCTTGATCACGTCCACATGAATAAATGTGTTGAACTGCTGCCATGTGATTGGCTGATTAGATTTACAAGCAGTTGATCAGGTGTACCTGGTAACCTGTCGGTCAACAGGTGATGGGTTTGTATTTTATAGAGCACCTTTTTCTTTTTTGTAAGAATGAGTTTCTAGTTTAATGAAAAGGGTAAATAAACTTTGTCTTCGTGGAAACTATAAAGTTTTCTGAAAAGTCTGTCGAGGACTTTTGTGAGCTTCATGACAGCTAACAAGTGGAGCTGACAGCCTGACAACAAGCAAAACCTGCCGAGAACAAATCACACATCAGTCCACGTGTGCAACTTGAATCTTTTTTTTTTTTAATTTAAAACAAATTTTAATCTTTACAGGTTTTATTTTTAATATACAATCAAACAATTGTTGTAATCATACATGAAATTTATTATAGTAATGCACAACTCTATCCAGACTACCCATAAATAAAAAAAAGAGAAACAAAAAAAAGAAAAACATCGAGATCAGTATGAAACACAACGTTAGGCAACACCACAGGTAACAAAGACGATCCTGTCACACCACAGCAGGACAGTCACTGCAATGCAAAGACGGACACAGGAACACACACACCTCACTTCATTTCCCTTCATCGAGTGATGACGTTTGATTTAAAAAAAAAAAAAAAGGGGGAGCAGAGAGATCGGGGTGTGAAAAGCCTAAAGAAAAAACAAAACAAAAAAAACTTGTGCCAGGCACTTGGCAGACGTGGGGAGAAAAGAAAGAAACCTGGTGTGATTGAAAGCGACAGACAGTTGCAGCCAGATGTTCTGCAGTATTATCCTCTACAACCTTGAAAACAATGCAGGGCAAAAAGCACGCTTCATCCGAGGCGTTAGTGACATGTTAGACCCAACAAACACGCGTGGATTTAAGGTGGCGGCAGCTTTGGATCAGAGTACAAACTCTATATAAAAAGCTCTCAAACTCCAACAACTGTAGTGCAGATAAAGTTGAATGTTTTTTAATTACCGTCTGCTGGCTTCATCTTCTAAAACGTGACAATTTACAGCTTCACAGCCTCCGAACGTTGGGACGAAGCACGTTTATTAAAAACACTGAGAATCTGTGGATCAAAGCATCGATCACGGAGTGCTGATCAGTTGATCTCTCTTTCTGTCAGTCTTTGTTGTGTAAATGAGTTTGGAGTGTTAAACGCCACCTGTGGGGGCTCAGACGATCAACTTTTACATATTCTATAATTATAAAAGGCGGGCTGAAGGTACGTGAGTCATGTTACTGATGAAGTTACCGATCACTTAAAGCAGACTTTGGAAATGATTGGAGAGCAATAATCTAAAGGTCACATGGGGAGAAACAAACTGCGATTCCACAAAACTCAACCTTTTTCCCTTCCTTTTCTCTCTCTCTCTCTCTCTCTCTCACACACACACACACACACACCTCATTTTCACATGACCCAGGGAAGCAGCAGCGTGCCATGATGCGATCACAAGAGGCTGCCGTGTTTTCGGGGTGAGGAGCGTAAGATCATCCCCTCACTTCCGATGATAACCTGGCTGGAATGTAGTGGTGATAACGACACGCACACATGCACACACACTTCACAGGTAAACAAGGTAATCTTCTGCAGGACGGACAGCTCAGGTGTGCGCGGGGGTGAGGGAAGTGAGTTGTTTTTAATGTTGCTTTTTGTTTTAAACTTTATTTAAACGAGAGCCTGGAGGCTTCAAGGTCCCTCATCGCGTCCCTCATCAGCGGTTCATCCTGACCTTTGACCCCAGCCAGGCGGCATCCATCACAGAGGAGGGAGACAGTACAAGGGGGTGAGGCACGTGTAGAGTGCAAACGGGCGTAGCTGTACAGGTTTAGGGAGTCGTGTGTGTGTGTGTGTGTGTGTGTGTGTGTGTGTACAGCATGCATGAGTGAGGTGTCTGCGAGTGCAAAAGTGTGTGTGTAAAAAGTGCATTCCTTGTGTGTGTGCGTGCCTTCGACCCGTGACCTCATCGTGTCCTCGGCAGCCGGACGATGAGAACAAAGTCTCGTGTCATCGTCTTCTCCTCGGGTGGCCTGAAAGTCTCTGCAGGCCTCAGTCAGTCAGTGAGGTTCAGGGTCTACAGCTGAAAACTAAAAACGAACAAACAAAAACGGGGTCCGCGTGTCAGAGACTGGAGCCGTTCAGGAGGCACACCTCTTCCTCCTCCTCCTCCTCCTCCTCTTCCTCGTTGCCCCCTCCACCCCAGCCGTCCTGGAAAGAGCGGATCAGTTGAACATGATGGACTCTGGATCCTGATTTGCCATTTGAGCCATGTGACGAAGGATATCTTTTTTTGTGATAATACCAAGAAGCCGCCTGCAGAGGGAGACAAAGAGGGACAGAAGCATGAGGAGGTGGTGGCGGCGGTGTTGGTGGTTGGCAGCTGAAGTAAAGCAGGAAACAATAAAAACATCATGTTTTTGTTGGCAAAAACAGAGAATCGCATGGTTTAATTTTGGCTCTGGTATGACATTAATTATATGAATCTGTGTCAGAATGAGGCCAACAAAAGCACGAGTCCCTGAGGAAGCAAAAGTCAGCAGCAGGAGGTGGAAGAGGAAAAAGGCAGGTGAGAAACAGCACCCAGCTTCCCCCGCTTCAGACCCCTGCCACGGCCGTTTGAGATTTGCTGCAGAGCAAAAGGAGGAGCTGGATCCTTCAGAGGAGACAGGAAGCAGTGAACAGGAGTAAAGTCAGAGGAGCAGAGGAAGAGGCGGTGCCCATCACAGGAGTCGGGACATTTCTATCTTTTACCTTTTCTTTTTATTCAGTCCAATTGAAAGCTTTTGCAGTAAGATCAGACAGCAAACATCACAGTGATGTGCAAAAGTCTCCAGCCAGCATCACTTCTTTATATTTTGTTTCCAAGCAGTCCGGCTTTTGTATTTTTTAAAGTGCTCTTGAGCAACAGTTCTCCAGTCTTTTTTGAAGGCCTTTCAAAGTTTTTCACTCATTTTCAGTCCTTGTATTTGACCATTTTCACAGGAATGCTTTGTTCGTTGGGCTGCGTAACACTGGTTCATCCTTTGATATTTTACAGGTTCATGATGTGCCAGTCACAAAAACACATCAATTGCTCCGGTTCTTTAAACCTGTGAGAAATATTTCTAATGTTTGACATTTTTCAAAGTGCTTTCTGTAACATCATTTTCATAATACGAAGCCCTGAATGTCTGACAGGTGACAGAGTCCCCGTTGGTAACCAGGCGACAGTGTCACATTAAAGGGCCGTTCACACAGGAAGTGACTCACTTTAAAGCATCATTGGTTGCTAGTGGAGAGTCCAAGCTCCAGTTGCCAAGGTAACCCTCTAATCTGTTTACCACTCTGTCATATATCAATCAGCAGTGCACTTCACCCTCATTTCTAGTCGATCGCCTCAAAGATTAACTCTCGACAGACCCGCTTTGTGTCGCCAGCGGTTATATCGCTCGCATGAAGTCAGTCATCATGGGTCTGTGGAGAGGAACAACATTCTGACTCCAATTTCATTAAAAATGTAATCATGTTTATTTCAGATTGCTAAAAAACTTAATGGTGAAGGGTTTGAACTGTGTAGAGCCAGAAAGTCTACATCGCCCAGTCGTTGTACAGAAAAACATTCAAAATCTGTTTTTTTAGTGTGAAATTCCACATTTTAGGATTTATTTTCCCTTCCAGGTTGCATTTCTGATTTCTCTTTTCCTGAAAGTTTCCACAAAACACAGGTGACTTCAAGTTGTGATAAATTACAGCTCATTTCATAATCATGTTTCAATAGCGATTTCTGACTCCTGTGATGAATCCACCTCGCAGCACTACGGAGCACTTTCTCTCTGTATGACACTGTAAAGGATTTAGTCAGTCAGCTGGGGCCATTAAGGAATAACACGGCAGCTTTTTAAACATCGGCGATGCTCCTGCTGACTGCAGTGAGGTCAGGTGAAGAGGAGAAACAGCTGAGAGCAGTGAGAAGAAGAAGCAGTGAGCTATGTGACTCCTACAGAGCTCAAATCATGTAGAGCTGGGTCCAAAGAGCTCAGTGTGCTTTGTGTTAATGCAGTCAGGTGACCACAAGGAGTTCATGCGTTTATGATTAATCGTGATCTTCTGCTGCATTTTGACCCTAGAAGGGAAATAATTGAAAGCGAACCCAGGTCTGAGTGGGTGGAGCTGAGGTACCTGTGGAGGGCGGAGGTGTGAAGCAGCAGTCACACAGATCAGACCTGGGTTCCCCCGCCGGCCGATCAGACCGGCAGCAGAGGCTCGGGAAGCCAGGTGCAGATCAGAGTGGGTCAGGTGAAGAGTGACCACAATGTTTCCAGTTAAACCAGCAGTGACCTGCCCCAGCTAATTTCAGGAAAAAATCTGGGCCAGGAAGTGAGCGTAGCACCACCTGCACTAACATTACAACACATTAATAATAAAGCAGCCTGTAACTGTGCTGTACACCTGACTCTTCTCTGCGTGCACAGCAAGGTCATAAATCTGTGCTGCAGACCGTCATTATTCCTCTGGTGCTGATACACGAGTGTGCGAGCTGCAGTTTACGTGTGCAGCCATGTTAGCTGATAAACGAGCCCTCCATCCTTTCGTCCACACTCGGACGTTTCTAACGTCTGATACGATGGCACCAAAAATACTGAAGCTTCAAAATCTGGAAACAGAAGCAGATGGGTGGTGTCACAGTAGCTGATGTAGCCATGTGGCTTATTACAGATTATTATATCAACTGGAGCTTGTGCAAATGGTGTTTTTTGTGTGTTTCTAATGACAATATACACAATTTACTTATAATTTACTTTAAAAGTTTCTATTTTCCTTCCTATTGCTTCTAATAATCGTGCTTTTTTAACATTTACTCCAGAGTATATTCTAACACCTTCTCCATGTCTGCTGTGGGCCCACACGCAGAAGGCGGGACACTGCTGGCTCAGAGGAAACATCGGCAGGTTAAAGAACAGGATTAGTAATCACTTCATAAAAGGAATCATGTGATCATCGCACGCTAGCTACATAAGCTACAGCACTACTGGCACCAGTCAACACAACATCGTCACTCCACCACGCGCACTACCACTACAGGATGAGGGGGATTATAGGAATGAGTCGCATCACTACAGATTGCCCCCCTCCCTCCC